AGTCACGTTGTTAATTTTAGCAGGAGCAAGAGTCAGCAGGTGTCGGCTGCAACACCTCTGAACGGGAGCCAAGGGCGGCGGCGGGAGCTGTGGGGATGATGCGCAGTTCTGAGGGAAGGATGGAGTGTGGCAGGCTCCCACAACCTGGGCCGGCCTCACTTTCTCTTTCTCTCAGGTTTGTGGCATAAGATGGTTTGCAACATCGATGCCACAAAGCAGAGCTGACGTTTACCTTCTTTCTGACGGAGGGAGCGGCAGCAATTTCTCTGGCTGTGTTCACATTAGTTGTCTGCGCCGCCCCGAGTGCTGCGGCCTGCCTAACCGGGGAAGATGAATCAAAGAGATCTGTTCGCAGGGAAAGTGGCAGCTGTCCTGCTGCTGACAGACTCCATTTTTGCTTCATTTCAGTTTCTCCCCAGCGGGTGCTGGGGTGACACGGGTCAGCTGCTTCGGAATTCCCCAGCCTCCCAGCACATGCTCCCTGGATTCTCATTCGGGGGTGGGGGTGAGGTGGGGCTTAGGGGCCAAATAAGCCAGCAGGTGAATCCCAAGAATGCAGTCAGCCACTGGCCATGAGCCTATCCCTTAAGCTCTTTGAAAGCACTTCCTCGTCTGTTTAACAAAAACGAGGAATCAGAATCCACGTCCTCTGGGGCTCATCCGTGGATGAGAGATTGCAAAGAAAGTGCTGGGCACAGATCCCCGCCCCCGGTGGCCTCAGATGTCACTCAGAGTGGCGGCATCGAACCCCCTCACAGCCCTGACCAGCCAGTGTTTTGTGAGTCTCACGAGGCCGGCTCGGGAGATGCACACCGAACCCAGTCCCGTTTGCTAATGTCAGTGAGGGATGGATGAACCTCTGCACTGCGCCAGACACCGTAGGCTTCACAGGAGGTGACAAGGGGGTCCACACAGAGCAAGCCCTCCCACGGCCAGGCCCCTTCCCCTGCATTATGTAATGGAGTCCTGTCATAGCTCCGCTAGGTACACCGATGACAGCCATCCTTAAAAATACTGACATTCAGGTTCGGCCAGGCTCCAAAGGCCCACACAGCATTTGAGAACTCAGCAGATGCTCAGTAAATGTGGGCTGGACTAGTGAGTGACTCATCACAGCTGGGCAATCGTGATACTAGGAGCTGGAAATCACATCGCTCCGGACCCCTGCCTGCAGGGAGCTTTCAGGCTACAGCACGAGAACCGGAAAAGCAAATATGCAGACGATGCCCGTCCATGATCGGGGGCATGGGTGATGTGCAGGTTACCATGGCAGGTAGTGGATGCTGGGGCAGAGGAGAGGCTGGACCACACCGAATGAGAGCGCCCCCGATGTGTCAGAGCATGAGGAACGCTGAAAGTAATCTGGTTTGATTTCCTCACCAACAGCTGAGAAACGAGGCCCAGAGAGGCAGAGTGACTCGCCTGAGGTTGCCCAGCTAAGGCCCACAGGCTGCAGAAGGAGAGGCCAGTCTTGAGTGAGAAGATGGCCTGCGCACACGACGCCTGGGAGAGGAAGTGGTCCTTAATTTGGTAGGTGCAGGGCGCTGTCAGCAGAAGGTGGCATGACCGGAGGCCTGGCAGAGCAGGTAATGACCACACCTCCTGCATGCTCACTCCGAGAGCGCCGGTTGTAGGAAGCCATGTAACCTCAGCGAGTGTGAAGCATGAACTCACTTCAAATGAGAGCACTGGAGCGCAGCACTGTGGGCCCAAAGCCAGGTGGGCAGGCAGAGACGGGGCCGAGATAAGAGCCCAGGCACTCGGCCTCCAGAGCCTTAACCACTAGGCTGTCCTGCCCCGGGAGAATTACGTGGTGAGAAAGACTGAGGGCAGGGTGATGGGATAAGAAGGGTCTGGAAGCCGGAGATGGGGAGGGCAGAAGCTCGATTGCTGGAAAAGGCAATGAACAGAGACTCTCAAGGCATCGACAGCACCCACTGCCAGTCCCTGACCAGAACCGCCCCGACCCACCGACCTGTCTGTGGGCCCCGAGTCCCACGCTTTTTCCCGCAGTAAATCCCTCGTGTTGCCCGCGACACACTTCTTTAGGTGGCTTCTGGTCAGAGTGTCCGGCAGTGGCCTGGAGCCATGACATCACTTCTACCAGCCTCAGGGCTGACATGACCGGAGCGGGGAGCTGGGTCTCCCCCAAACCGACCCTGACTGCTTCTCCCCACCTGCAGGCGACAAATGCTCCTGGAGAAACCCGGGAGCAGCATCCAGGTAGAATGTGGGCACCTCTCACGAACTGTCCTTCAGACGCACCAGGACTGAGGCCCCGACAGTCACAGCAACGCGGCTGTCCGCGTGACAGCTCCCCGGGGTGACCGCACAAGAGCCTTCTTTCTCATTAACTAGACCTAACCTGTTATGAATAGCAACAGCAATTTTGAGAGAAAGAAGCAGACAAATAGACTGAAGGCGGGGGGCAGGGAGGGAGGGAAAAAGAGAGGGAGGGAGAGAGGGAGGGAGGAAGGAGAGAAGGAGGGAGAGAGGGAGGGACGGACGGATTCCATGCTAAGTGACCACCGGTGCCTTATAGACAGACTGAAATAATTTCAGCTTCGACACTTACTAAAGAGCTGTGAAACCTTGAGCTTCAATTCTTTGAATCTACACCCAAATCTGCAAAACTGGGTCCTGCCTTGCACGGTGCGGGAACAGATTAGAGAAAACCTACATAAACCCTTTCGCATAGCAGGTCCTCCACAGAAGTAACCCTGCCGTGTAATCAGCTCACCTCACTCCTTTATAGCCTAAAGGTAGGTGATTAAGATACTGAAATGAGTTGTGAACAATGTCCTTCTATAAATGACAAACCTTAAATGTTTGTGGGTTCTTTTCGGTTCCTTTTGTTTGCCTGTGCCCACAAAACCCTTCGGGTAAAGGTCAGCAAAGACCCAAATGCCAGTCAGATCCCCATGACAAAGGGGGCAAAGTGCCATGGAGCTGAGCCATCAAACAATGACTCACGTCGAGACAGTTCTTCACAGGACAGTTAGACTTAGCCTGAA